TGAAAATTGGCTGTAAGTCCCCATTTTCAAGAGTGACTTGCATATTGTGGCATCTGACTCTGGCTGAAAGCCACACAAAGCAACATTTGGAGGTTAAGAGCAAAAAGCTGGGAAAAACTGCCCTACTACTGTGATTCTATCCCGTTTTGGTATTTGAGTTAGTTCATTTAGGGCTGATGGGGGTATATTTGCACATGCCCTGCAGAAGTTTTCTGGGGTACTTTGAAAACTTAACTGTTAGCTTCATGTAAGGTGAGATTTAGGGAGGCACAAAAGGTGCAAAGGGAGCTGGTGATTAGAGCTGAAGACCCAACTGGTAACTTGCTGCTGAAAATCTCTTTCACTGATCTTTCACTTTTAAAATATGAAATGTCTGAGTTGCTTCCCCAGTGTGTGCAAATCAGCGTGCTCCACTTTTGAAATTCCTTAATCACCTCGTGTGTTTGTAAAAGGTCCCTTTCTGCAATGAGAGTTTTAAAGAAGGAAACCTAACATTCAATTTCAGTGTTTTCTCAAAACACTTTCTAATTCTCAAAACGCTTATTTCTACTTGCACGTTTCTGAGTTCCTGTCTCCGATGGATTTTTCAGATGTGTTTTATGTTGTGTTATGATGTTTCTAATTTGGGTGATGAAAGGTTAAAAGATATGCCTGTATGAAATTACCCAATGACTCTTGTGAACTAACATCGTATCTTATTGAGTATGATCACTCTGTCATTTGCTTTGGCTACAGTAAAGCTTTCAGATACAGTAGGAATAAGCTGGGATCCCCGGAGCCTACTGTAGAATTTGAAGGGGGGCAAAAAGACATAGTTTCCTTGCCTAAGACTTTCTAGTCATGTGTAAAGAGACGATGCTCTGGAAAATGTTGTTTTTCTTTGGCTGCCCTTTAGTCAGATCTTCTCACTGCTGGCATTGTGCAGAGTCAGCTTAAAAGGTGTATTTAGCATTGAGGGATTTGGTAAATACTGCTTTATTGTGTTCGTACTCCCTACAGGGCATTCTGAAGAGATGAATAATAAGTGTGAACAGGAAGAGCAAGTTTCCAGTCCTGTCAAATTAATTAGAGCAGCGTAGAATGAAGTGAGCTTTGCCATTAGGTAGGTTGAAAACAGGCAAAGGGACTCACTCGGGCATATACAAAAATGTTACCCCACTACTATTATTATTGTTTTCTTTTGAATCAGATATAAAATGTAGCTATGTTTTGTTATCCACAACAAAACCTCTCTCAAATACTGGGCATATAAATAAAATGGAGCTGGATATGCAGAGCTAACCCCCTGCTGTGGCAAAAGCAAAACTTGCCAAGCGATGACGCTGCCCTTATAGCTGCTGTTGGAGAAGTGTTTCCTTACAGCTTTAAGGGAATTAGTGACACCCCAGCTCAATGTCATTTAAGTCCGTAAAGATGCTTTAGAGTTTGACTCAGCTCCCAGCTGTAAAACTGCCCCTCCAGTTTGCCAGCCGCCTGCTTCATAATTTTCTGAGACTTGCATTTTTCCTCATAGCAGCCCAAAAAAGCCATTCTTGGTGTCATACTTGGGCTCTAGTTTGTGTCTTTTCCTAAAGTCTTTTCAAACAGCCATCAACCTAGGAGGTAAAAAAAGGTCTGATCCAAATCCTGCTTGAGTCAGTGGAAAAGATTCCTGCTGAATGAAGTGAGGGCTGGATGAGATCAGTAGACCCTATTTTTTCATTCCCTGCTTAGACAGGAGCGATCTCTATTGTCCATTTCCAAGCTCTGGTAAGAAATGACTCAAACTCTGAGGCTACTGCTTCTCTTGAAAACTACTCCCCAGACTAAACACATCATCTGACAAGAAAATTATCCTCCCTCTCCCCTTTATCAGAACCCACCCTCTTTACTTCATTCCTCTGGAAAGCCTTAATTCTGATTCTCCTTCCATTGTGTCTCCCCATTTCAAGTGATAATTAAGCATGTAACATATTTCTCCTGCACTTTGCATTTGTTCTTATTGAGGTGCTTTCATACTTCCTTCTAACTAAGCCCTTCCAATTCTTTGAGTATTTTATTACTCTTCTGTGACTTCTATACATAAACCTTCTTTCTCTCACTCACCTTCATATGATGTCTAGAGATATGAACTACCTTACCATAGCATGCTACAGCAGCTATCCCTATGGATGAGAATATTTGGGTGGGATTCATTTGATCCTTGGTGTTAGTCACCCTGGATTACCTTTCAGCTGATGGAGGAATGGGGAGGGAAGACAACTGCAGGGCCTAATTATGTCATCCTAAAGCAGAGGTTTAAAACAGCTCTGACTGTGTCCAAAAGTGTGTGTTTCTCTACTGGGAGACCCCTGCAGGGGTCTAGAAAGGCTGGTGTGGCTGTGAAGGCATCTCCCATGGACATCTCCCATTATGTGATGTGAGTCACCCTTGGAAATGTGCAGCTGGAAATGTTGTGCAGAGTGGCTTTGAAAGGGAACAAATGCCATGTCTAACCGAATAAAGCTGTTCTGCAAAACTTCTTCCACTAACTTCTTACCCGTGGAGGCTAACAAAAATGAAGCATTTTTATAACCTTGGAAGTTCCCACTTTGATGTTTTTAGAATGGAAAGTTGTGGTTGCTGCTGCTGTTTGTGTTGAAAAGCGTTACAATGAAGATGCACCAGATTTCTAAAGTGGATTAACAAAAATTATGCTGAAACATGAATGAAGTGTCTCAGTGGTCCCTGCATTCCATCCCCAGTTTAGCCTTAGGTTTCTTTTTCTAATTTGGGTTTTCACAGAGAATTTCAAACTTCTTATGCTCAGCCTGCTTCAGGACAAAATCACACTTTAAATGGGGGGATTTCCAGCTAAATTGAGATAGGAGAGTTAGCTCCTGCTCCCTTCTGTTCTTCATAAACAGCTTTCCTCAAGCTGTGTCTCTGTTTCTCTCTCTTACAGAACAGATACGGGAATAGAATACGGGAATACTTCAGATTTTGCTCCACTTGCCCTATTTTTCCAAAGCTGCAATTTAGATATCGCTGTTGGCCTCTGATAAGCACAGCTTGTTCTCCAGCTCTCCATGTACCACATTTGACCACGAGGGTGTGGAGAGTGACACAGAAGGTCAAGGAGAAAATCTCATCCTTACACTTTTTGGTCCAAAATTCATCTGATATGAATCAGCACAGCTCAGCTGACTATTGCTTTGCTCCTCTGAAGAACTCAGAACTCGCTATGGTACATTTCTGTGCCATATAAAGCCAAGGAGAAGGCATATCACTGAATGTTCTCTCCTTTTTAGGGTGGATGCAGTGGCACAGGAGTCAAAAATACCAGCTTGTTGAAAGAAAACATGATGAAGAGTGCCTCAAACCCATGACATTCCTGCAAGCAGGCTGTTACAACTGATTTTCTTTCAGCTCCCTAGCTTCAATTTTTGGCAGCCGCTTTAGAGAAGCCAAGGGCGTCCTGCTCTAGGACCTACAGAAGGAAGATGGTCCACAAAGGGAATAGTTTCGGCACTGGGGACAATAAGTGGTCTGGGGCCTGAGACTTAGAGACAGACACTCCCTTCTCTTTTTGAGAGAATTTCAAAACGCTTTGGTTTTCATTCAAATTAGAAAAACTCAACCATTTTACAATTGCAAAACCCTCCATAAAACTGAATGATCTTTCTCCCCACAGCTCCATCTGAAACAGATGGAAATTTCTTCAGTGAAGTGACCACTTAATTGAAAATATGTGATACCAAATTAATACCATTTCAGCAGGTACTGGGAAGACAAATGAAGATTGTCCATCCTTCTCTAGGTGTCTCAGACAACTACCTATTGCTTTTTTAAGGTGCCTGGCGGATGGGAAGTCATTTAAACGATGCTTGTTGGCTCCCAAACAGAAGAAATAAATGAACACAAAAGAGCAAGATTTCAATTAAAGTTCATCATGTAAAACAGGCCTCATGCCTTCCCTGACCACAGAGATTAGCTTTTGTGTCTGGAATTGCATTTCATAAACCTCCTCCCTCGACACGGAACATCTGCTCCCTTTAGGACTATTGTTTTACACCCATAAATAAAACATAAAATTATATTTTTGTCACTCTTCAGGCCAGATCTTCAGCTGGCATAAATCAATGGCAAGCAGTCAACCTCAGCAGAGCTCTGCTGACTTAACCCAAATGAGGATCTGGCCCTTGACGCTTTGGTGCTGAAGAAAATAATGGGTCTGGGCAGAGAGTGTGGGACATTGTTTATCAGAGAATGTGTGTGAAACTACATGGAGCAAGTAACCATAAAGCATGATTGATCTCTCCAGCATATTTTAACACTTTTTTTTTGAGTGTTTACTGAAACCTTTTAGGTAGTGCAGTCTTCTCAGATATCATTTTATATTTGAAAAGCTTTCTAATTCATCATGAAAAGTTACGTGTCGCTCCAATGAACCTCTAGCTTCAATTACTTGCTGTGCAAATGGTTGGCCTGCATTTTGACCAATGTTTATGGTGCTTGGCAATTTTTCAGTAGCTACTTTACCCTGATATGATTAATTTCTTGCATAATATGAGGTTTTGCATGTGTGGAGCTGAAATAATCCTACTAGGCAGAAGAGAAATAAAAGAGCTTGTGTATTTCAGCTTTGAAAACATCTGAAACATAACATCACAATTTTAAGCGTGCCAATGATAATACAAGTTAGCCATGGATGAAGACGACCACAAGAGACATGAAGTTCCTGATGGGATTCAGCAGCATGAAAGTCATTACTTGGCTAGTAAGGTCAGCATACTAGATCATAGCTGGGCAGCCCCAGAAACAGGGAAGCAAGAGACAAGCCTGGAGCTCATCGTACGTGACTGCAGCGGTACAAGAATGGCTGCTGGTACTCGTCTGCTTTCTTGAATGTCAAACCCTTCTCTGCATGCTTGTCTCCCTTTGCACCAGAAGTGTTAACGTGTATTAACTACCCTGAAGTAAATGCAGGTAAAGCTTGAACAAATAAATCTTAATTTGAAAATGTGTTTAGCTTTAAGCACCTGAGAAATCTCACTGGTGTCATGCTGGTTTGTTTTAGTTTCTTTAGCTGGATCAGACTTCAGAGTAGCTGAGCAGATAGTGGCATTTGGATCTGCACGACCCTAAAAAGACAAATAACGCTGATGACTTCTTTTGAAAGGATTTGAGGAGAATGAGGTATCCAACCCCTACTGCATTCTAAAGCAGAAACACATTTCCATAAGACCTGGAACTCAGTTCTCCTTAGGCTCTGTAAAATGAGCAATATGGAACATTGTCACCCAAGCTGTCTGCCTGCTTCTGCCATATCAACAGATAACACCTGCTCTGATTCAGTTCATCATTTACTGTCTTACTACAAGCACATCCTCTTTGGTGAGTTAAACTAAAATATTGTGCCATAAACTCAAGAGGCTGTTTGGTGGGCATGTGATGCCACATGCCGATTCATGGGGAAAGTCATCTTCAACAGAAGCTGCAAAGCCGATCGCTGGAGGTGGTAGCCTCTTACTTTCAAAAGAAGCCCTTAGGTGCCTTCAAAATCCCAACCTCCATATTTTTACATAATACAATCACACATTTGTCACCTTAACAGAAAGCACGTCTATACTGCAAATTCCAGTAGAGTGAAGAGGTACTCAGACTAGCTGTAAATGAGCTAGCCATAAATGAGCCTGCTTCCCGACAGGATAAATTAGCCCATACGGAGCTAACACCGCCAAAAAGCAGGGTAAATTAGTCCTCTTGGTGTTCTCTGCTGTCTCATCTTGAGTGCGTCCGGTATCCACAATGGTTCATTTACAGCTAGCTTGGGCATTGTCATGTGGACATACTCAGAGCAATATAGTTAGTATTGCTATAATAAGAGCACAGGAACTGATAATGGGGGTTAGTTACCTTTTACCTTTGCTCGGTACAGAGGGGCCAAGTCAGAGGTGACAGCAATGCAGAAAGACCTCACTGAATTCAGCAGTTATTTCTGCTTACAGGAATGTACACAAATTAGATGGTCATCTTGGGTGATAATGAATACTGGGTCATCCTGAACCCAAGAAATCACTTTACAGCCACAAAGATAGGCTACTACCATCATTTGATGTTGAGCCTTTTTGCTTTTTAACTTTTTTTAAGCCAGCCTTTTGTAACACTTTCTGTTTAAAATAAACAGGTGATATATGTGGGATTAGTTGACCTACCCTCAGTAAGTCAGCCAGTTTGGTCCTTCAAGTTCTAAAGAGATTGAACATTATTTAGATTTTAACATTATTTTTTAATATCTAAAGACTACATCTTTGTGGATCTCAAACACTTTGAATGGTTTTGAATGAAAAAAAAATGCATTAAAAGACTTAAGAAACATGTTAGAAAATTACCTGAATCAGCTGGGTTCAAAACAGGTCATGGGTATCTGAAGCAACATCTATCCCTGAAATCTGAAGAGACATGGAACTTCACAAGGCACCTACATGGACAAAAGAAACAGAAAATTGAGCAAAGATCAATCTATCCTTAACAATTTTAGATGCATTGATAGGTAGGAAACTGCTCAGTGTAACTACACTTCCACTGCCAGGGAAGTGCTTAAGGCAGTATGGCTTATTTCAGGTAGGTGAAGTCAAATTAGCTATGCCAATAAAAGCTGCACCAGTATATCTGCATCTGACAATTAGCACTTAGACCAGCACTGCTACCTGGCAAAAAATCACATCCAATTTAATGCACACATGCCAGCATGACCTCTAACACCAACTGCAGATATATCACGTTAACAGAATTCTATAGGTTTCAGAAATCAATTTCATGCAATACTGCATAATTTTACAACCAGATAATGCAACATATGAAAAACACTTCAAATCGCTGGCTGATTTATGTGTTCTTTCTTGGTACCATGAAGAGTGAAGGAACCAACTTTAAAATGCCCTAGTGCTATATCCAGTTCCCCACTCGGTACTCTGCCTTGTGTAGACTGCAGCAAAGTGGGGGAGAGCGATCAGCCTGTGATGAAACCTCCTTGGAAACGTGAATGCGGCCCTTTCTTTTTCAGTATTTACTTACAGATGAGTGTACCCCTGAAGAACTATAAACAGCTGAGAGCAAAAAATAAAGGGACCTCTGAAAAGTTTTATGTCCTCCGAACTATAAATGTCAGGTGGCAATAGCGGGCAGTTTATTTTTTCTGTAGGTATATATATTTATTTATTTATTCCATGAAAATATTTTCTCTGACAGAAAATAATAAAATAAAAGTGAGCCCATCACTGGCAGCTTTATGAAATACAGATATAAATTTTGTGGTACTGATGAATGCCTTTAATAAGTTGAGTTGACAATTATTTTTTGTCTCCTGTCCAAAAGAAAATAATGTGCATATTAAAAAGTGCTCGCTTCTTTAGGTTTTGGTGGTTTGGATTATTCTTCTTTCAGAGAGCGGAGGGGTAATGAAAAGGACCAGCCAGAAGCAACACACCCAGAGAGCTGTGTAAAAATCCAGACAGGGCAAAATGTTGGTACAGCAGCAAAGAACCACAACGGGCTGGGTAACTTCGGGAACAGCATTTGCCAGAACAAGCATCACATTTTTACTGAGCTAAGGGCCAACATGGGATGTGAAGATTCGGAGCTGAGCACGTGCACATGGCTGGGGGCAAGGGGCACAAACACACCATTTTCCAAAGGTGGGATTCCTCACTACTGTGCTTTCCCTCCCCAATTAAGGGTTGAAACAAGCCACTGGAATCTACTGTATGTCCTGGGGAAATAAACGCCCTGGCTGCTCTCCAACTTGTATTTCACCCTTTCTACAGCAAACAAACAATAGGCCAAGTAGGATGTTGTACATCACCCTGGAAAAAAAAATAAAATAAAGTGAAGTATTGATAAACTGAGATTAATTTTTACAAAAATGGTTATATCAAGTGCATATGCTTTGCCTCTTGGCCATTATGGAAATGTCAGGGGTTTAATTGGCAGCTGTGAATAGCAGCACCTGCAAACAGCTCAGGGCTTGTTCCTGTGGTCTGGCAACATTCTTACTTTATGCTTTAAATAAAGGCTTACTCACTGAGACAGAAATAACTGACAGTGCGTGATTGATGATTGCCCATCACGCAATAGCTGACATCTACCATTCACTGAATCCATTTACAATTTCACTTCCAGATTTCATTAACAGGGCCGTGACATCTAGGAACGGGATTGATACAGATGGCAGCTCAGTTACAGAGTTCAGCTGATGCTCAGCGTATGTTAAGCATGGAAAACAGATTATTATGAGCTCCAATCTATCTCATGTGGTATATTTTGGAAACCCTATCTGTTTACTCCAGGTAACCTTTTATAGTTCTATTTATCCTGCCTAGTTTCAAACCAGATAGCAATTTTCCATAGTGGAGAATTTATAGTGCCATTTGCAACACGCGTTTATAAAATACTTACTTCCGTGAAATATTAAGACAAGATTTTGGCATTCTAAAGGTTCCCTTTTCGCTTAAGGAGGAAACAAAAAAAAACGCAAGCACATAAAATCTGTAATTTCCCTCATCACAGATATCCTCTTCTGAGCAAAACAAATGGCTCGCTCCCCACCGCACACCTGCGTAGGTCTTAAACCCCAGTGGCCATGGAGCTCAGAGGCAAATAAAGAGGTTTCCAGCTAGAGGGGCCAGTCCCACTCGGCTCAAAACTCCGGCTGACCTTTGCCTGAGATGGGACACAGCGTCCTGCAAATCCTTGTTTTTATCTCAAGCTCATCGGGTTTGGCACAGGCTGTTCTTCAGGAAGGCTGAGGCTCAAAATGCAATTTTCCATTGTCATTAAGAAGCTGGGCCAGATATCAGGTCTTAAGTCTGCAAACCCCAGAAAGTCTGGAGCTGCTCAGACACAGGATTTCAAGTTGTCTTGCTGTTAGGGGAGGGACGTCTCTAAAATTCAGAGTCCCCTTCAGATGAAGGGCTGAATTAGAATGATTCTCTGTAAAAGTAAAGAGTCACAGTCTAGAAAACACTCATACCCACCTACTCCATGCAAATAAACAGTCTTAAAACCTAGCCTTAAGAGAGGAGAGTAAGAAGCGAGCAGGGTAAAAACCACATATAACACCTCATCCAAGCAAGCAAGGTTGTTGCTTAATGGGTTCATGCACCTGCTCTTGTGCAGCTCAGCTGCTGAAGAAATGCACGATGTGCAACAGCTTTTTTTTACCATTATCAGCTGTGCTTTTCTAGCTCAGTTTGTGAAGTTCTGGGTGCCTCCTCACCAAGCCCTCTCTAGGAACGCACCTCTCTTGGGCAAGTGCTGCAGCAAAGTCTGAAAGCAGGTAGAGAATGAAGGCTCTTGGGGCAGCTGCCAGAAGCTTCAAGCAGGCAGTCTTAGTTTTCACATCAGTCCATGACCCTTACTTTTGCATAAGCCCAGCTTTCAAACCCTGTGAACACAGACTGGACCCTCTGCCAGCTGCTTTATCGCTTTTTATCTTCTTGAAGTCGACACAGCTTCACCCTCTCCTACTTTGCCATTAGTAGGGTCTTCTGAAACCCAAATTTGTGCTGTTCTTATTCTTACAGCCAAAAGATCACTCAATGGAAACTGGTACTAATGCAATTCTTTAGCAGGTGCAGAGATAGCCAGTTTCCAGACTGACACTTGTAATGGCTTCCCAGAAACAGCTCTGTTTCATCTCAAACTTGCTGAGCCAAATCCATTCCTTCCGTATTTCAACCAACTTTGCACATTTAAGCCACTACTTCAGTCTCCATACGTAATTGCATGCAGTTCTTCTTGTACAAAATGCAGTGGTTCTTTTCTTTATTATGGTCATTTAAAGCAATTAAAGATGATCACACACAAACCTGAGAATTAACATTGTGCAAATATTTATGCAGGAGCTAAAGCTAAGACTTTTCCCCCTTTCTGGGTGAAATGTGGAAGATTTGTTCCAGAAAAAACAAATACATTGTCCAGTTTAACTAAAGGCAGCAGGAAAAGCCTTCCTTTCTACCTCATTTAAAAAACTTCTGGTGCTCTTCATAAAGAAAACACCCTTCTTCCCCATGTACCTTTGTTTATATGTGCCATCACTGGTAGTAACAGATGACAGTACAGAGGTTTTCCAAGAAATTCCCATAAAATTATAGTAAGAACCTTTCCATAATATGGTTAAATTTAACAATGCAAAAAAGACCAAATATACATGACAAATGCAGCAACTGTAACAGAAACAGCTACAGCTACCCCTGCCTTTGGAAATGAGGACCAACCCATATGCATGTGTTTAAACAGGCCTTTAAAAGGCTAACTTAGGCACCCCTTTCTTATTCCTGCTTCTGTTATTCTGGTTCAGCTGAATGGATGTGCACTGATTTTTTTTTTGCTGTGTAACAAACAGCTGGAGGTGCTGGAGTATTATTTGCTATTCCTAGTAAATATCTTTTAAAAAGCACACTGAGGAGCTACTTTAGCCTGACACTCAGATGGGTGGTCAATGCCACCTCCCTGCAGCGAAGCCTGGAGGCAGCATGTGCCCGGGTGCTCTGTTGAGCAGGGACCCAAAAATAGGGCAGATGCACCCAAAAGCCAGGAAGAACACAACTCCACTGCAATTTTAGATGTTTAAGTGCAGGATTCCGGCTCTGAGCTACTTATCAGGGCTCTCCATAGCAAGTGGGCAGGAATAAATACTCCCAGGTTGTGAATCTTCTCTGGCTATGGTAGGCATCTAAACCAGGTGCAATCAGTCATGACCTCGAAGTGCCTGTTTCCTACCACTGACTAGATGAAACATTCAAACGACTGGCTTAGACACAGGCATCTAGTCCCCAGCCCTCTAAAATGACACAAGACACATGTCATTCATAATAAAACAAAATCTTTAGAGAAACCTTACTCATGCTCCTGGAATGGAGAATTGACACGTCTACAGTTCTTTCCTTTTTTCTCTTTAACGCCTGCATGATGCTGCTTCATCAATTTTCAGGAAGGAAAGAGATGAAACGGGAGAGTCAATACATTAAATAGTATCAGGAGGATCTCTGCTTCTTCCTTGTTGCTATGGGCAGCCTGGGGATGCTGCAGCATGGTTTCCTAACAGAGAGAAAGGTGTGTCCAGCAAGACAAAGCTCAACTTGTGGGTGAAGTACTGTCCCAGAGTTTTACTATTCAACAGGACACTCTGTTGCCTTCGATGTGGCTTGAAGCTTTGAGGCAGAGCACAATAAAGGCAGTTAGAGCTAACCTGCTGGCGTGGCACCAAGGCAGAGCAGGGAGCACACACTGCCTCTCTGCTGCTGATGGAGCTCCTGAGTACAATAACCACCAGGACATGAGTGATGAAGGACAGCTTGGGGTAGTAATATTTGCTACTAGCTTAGCTAGTTCCCTGAGAAAATGTCTTTAGGTATTTTGTTTCTTTGTGACTCTGGTGTATTCTTATCCCCAAATGTCCCTTACAACGCTAGGATAACA